TTCACCTAAGGCGTCCATTTCTGGCCTATTCTGCGACAACTTCCCACTTGGGGTTTTACAAATGCGTCTCCAGAAGTTGAGGCTCATGGCTGGTATGTTGCGACGTAAACTTGTTGATTGGATGCAATACGCCGGCATTGGTAAGCAAGGCGAGCAGCGCGATTTCGCAACACATACCACCGGCTACACAAGGATATCCTCGAACGCGAGAAAATGCAATGATCAGAGATTTGGTAAGCAAGGCAAGAAATTGCATCAACTAGTGTTTATGACACGCAATCGTCATTTCAAAACTTCTCTTGCTTCCATCTACGCACCATCCTTCTTCCTCTGCCCGACGAAAAAGCCCAATCCAAAATCATCCGTCTTAAACGTGATCTTGCTCCCCTTGGGAAAGAAAAATACATCCCCCTTCTCAGCCTTCACTTCCTTGCCCGTCTCATCGCTGATGTAGAAGTGGCCATCTACGATTATCTTGATCTCATCGTACGTATACGTGTACACGAGTGGTGTTCCCTTCTCTAGACGGTAGAAACCGCCGCTGATGGGCTTATCTGGGTCTGTAGATTCTCTGGTGAAGGGGGAAGGGTTAGTTCGGGGTAGTGGGTTGATGGAATGCGACAAGAGGAGGCTAGACGTACGACGATACGACGTCACCGAGGTAGGCGTTCTCGTTGGCGATTAGAGGGGGCTTGAAAGTCGTTTGCGCTTTCTCGAAGTATTGCATTGCTGGCATGATGTCGATGGTTGATATGATGTGGATTGTTCGGGTTATGTAGGGGTGTTATAGAGGCCGCTGAGGGTGGAAGGCGCAACAGCACGACCGGCCTTATGTACTACAGCCTTATCTATCATTGCTCGACTTCAACACTTACGGCATCGGTATCATCAGCTTCTCAAGATACACTGTTGACGGGAGTTCCCCTGCCACCGTCATCCAGTCAGCCGCCATGTAGGCGTAGGGCAGCGCATATCTGGGACTTCGATACTAGATGCGGCGCTTGGCATGCATAAAACACATGGCCGATTTGGCTGGAGCTTTGCTAAGCGTTCCGATCTTATCCACTGCCATCTGTTAGTGTGCGCTGCAGGTGTTGAGCGAGACGACCCCGAAACGTTGGAGGTAGCTGGGGATAGTGGGGTGGTTCAAGGTGGGGCAATGGCATGTAATGTGCGATTGGCTATGAGCTTATCGTCAGGAAAGGATTACTCCATCTGGATGTCGTGCATATGTGGGTTAGTGCAGAAACGAGGGTTCCGACTATGACTCGAGGAGACTTTCGCAAAGCGGAGATGCTTGTTGCTTGAAAGGGACGATCGCGCTGCGTAGTAATCCTTAGAACTGCGTCTTGAATTCTGATAATACATTCTGGGTATATTCAAATTAATGGATGCGGTAGTGATATCATGCAGGTCGTTCTTCTTCATGGTCTTCGTCCTCTTTCCACTTCTTGCGCCACCACTTCATCTTAAACCAGTCGCCCAGATTATCTTGGCTTTTGCTCCCTTGGCCGTACCCCCAGGTCTGTCGTCTCCGGGATGTTTCGTCCATGTCTGTATCAGAGATATCGCCGTCTTCTGGATCGGGATGATCAAGAAGTGATGTAGAGCTGTCCACGGGCTTCTTTCCTTGCGACACGCTCCTGCCTCGGCTACCGAATCCTTCGAACCAGGACCGTCGACGCATCTGATTGAGCCACGCCGACTGCGCAGCATTCCTTCGTGGAGGCAAAGTCCCAGATCGCGGTCGTCGTTCTAGATCCACGGATCGCCGAGCAGGAGAAGGCAGAGTCTCTCGGTCGTTGAGCTCATCCCATATCTCATTTGTCTCCTCCGAGATAGTCATCCGCCGTCTCCTCGGCAATCTACGGGATTGTATGGGACTTTTCAAGTCACCGGCGTCTACCGATGCTCGCTTCTTCGGATTGGCGAGTGTCGCCGCGGGACCTGTGGGAGCGCGGGCCAGCAGGGGTGTCCTTTCGTCGACCGCTTTCCGCTTGGCTTGCTCCGAGGCATAGCCGTGAAAGCCTGGGGCTTCTTCGTCAATGTCCAGAGGTGAGTCGGATTCGTCGTGGCTATGGCCATGCGCAAGGCCGATACCGGGTTCCAGCACATTGTGAGGCATCGGAACCCTGCCTGTGTGCTTGCTTGCTACTGGTGACATGGGCTCTTCCTCGTTGTCTTCAAGTCGCCAGCTCAAGCAGACAACTCCCGCAAGCAGTATGACAGTTCCAAGTGCGATCAACCCAGCGTGCAGACTCGACAGGCGATCGTTTTGGTCGAAGTAGATGAGGCCGTCTATAATCGCGATGATGTTGTACACGCAGAACACTAAGGGGTAAAGGACGCTTGTGCTAACCAATTTCAGTCCGCGATGCATGTAGTAGAGTTGGGTCAGGGCGAAGACGACCAGTCCGACTAGGATCATCCACGACTGCCAGCGGTCAAACTGATTATGACGGTCGATGAGAGTCCGGACGAGGAGTTCGACGGCGCTCTTTGCGATCAAGAGTGAATGCGCGGAGAGGATGCCACTGACGCAACCGAAGAGGATACCGCGTACGAGGCGTTGTCGAGGAGTGGTCCGCGGATGCATGCGGTGCAGTAACCAAGTGGCAATAACCAGCATGACAACCACTATGCCCGTCATGACCATCCATACAATGAAGGTGTTCCGTCCCAATAGCGCCAACAGCTGATCCAGGTTATGCGACGGTTCGGCAATGGCACCGAACAAGGCGATCAGCAATGCGCCTATCGCAACGAGCATTGTGCCGACGAAGGAGTATCGCGTAAAGGGTTCGCTGAGGATGATGGAGGCGCATATCGAGTTGAAGACGAGGCCGGATGCCTGGAGGGTGGAGAGGACGGGAAGGGGGAGGGTGGTGATTTGGATGGTACTGCCGACGATGTTTGCCACGACGAACATGAGCATGCCCAGCTGTATGTGTGTTAGTGAATCGTCTCCGAATGCGCGAGGGGTGTTCGTGCCTGCCATCTCCGCCGCTTGTATGGGGGTCGCCTCTCATCGTCGTCGTCCTTCTCTTCCTCCAAGAGATGGGACTTCCGCTGCAGCGTCAGGCCAACGCTCTGTATGCTGGTAGAGGCAAGGCCGACCATTACTCCAAGCTGCATGTCCGTCCGTTAGCGCTCTATTCCCGTGGTGGTATGGCGCCTTGGGTACTCACAGCAACGCTCGCGCCCGGCGAGAGTTCCACCATGGTTCGTGTCGGCTGTCGTCGCTGCACTGCGCGTGTCGCTACCTAGTCGTCGGGCGCATGCTGTGCGTATGGGGATATGAAGGCGGGGATGTGTGGTCTTGGTAGTAGACAGCGCAGACGTGGAAGTCGCGAAACGTCACGCTGAGTCGGTGAAGTGCACGAGACGGTTGGGGAAGACTAGCCGACGCCGTGCAGGTTGCAGGGATCAGCCGACTGATGATGTAGTTGGATTCAGGAGGAGAGCCCTGGAGAGCTCAGGAGCAGCAACGAGGCGACGCGACGAGGTTGAACACGAGATATATCTATTATACTCATAGTGTGACACGCTTAATATTACCATCGCGTACCTGCGACGTCGTGCCATGGATTCTCTGCAGACGTGCCTGGGTAACCGCGGGCAGCGTCTGGGTGTCTGGGGGCCCAAGCTTGAACTTCAACCTCCAAGCTCCGTCACTGCTATACCTCGACGCCAGCACCCATAACCCTCCCCCGTAGCCCAGAGGACCCCACACAATACCGCCATCATGTCGCAAGTCCACGCCCTCTCCGACGACCAGGTACAACTCCCCACCCGCTCCAGCCCGCGGCAAGCTCCCCGCCCACTACGTCAACACGATAGCTAACACGCACCACCATGGCAGGTCGCCGGCGAGCTCAAGAAGATGACGGCCTTCATCCGCCAGGAAGCCATGGAGAAGGCCAACGAAATCCGCCTCAAGGCCGACGAGGAGTTTGCCATCGAGAAGTCCAAGCTCGTGCGCCAGGAACAGGCCTCGATCGACTCATCCTACGAGAAGAAGTTCAAGCAGGCCAGCATGTCGCAGCAAATCACCCGCTCCACCGTCTCCAACAAGAGCCGATTACGCATCCTCTCCGCCCGCCAGGAGCTGCTCAACCGCCTGTTTGAGAACGCCGAGAAGAAGCTCGGCGATGTTTCAAAGGACAAGAAGAAGTACCAGAGCGTCATGAAGGACCTGATTGTCGAGGGCGCCTATGCGCTCAACGAGGACAAGCTGCAGGTCAAGGTCCGGAAGGCCGACTACGACCTTACCAAGAAGGCTATCGAGGAGGCGCAGACCGAGTACAAGAAGAACATTGGCAAGGACGTCTCCATTACTATCGATGAGAGCGACCCGCTGCCAGAGGGATCGTAGGTTCAACATTACTATCAATGTGGGATAGGACTAACTCCAGACAGTGCTGGTGGTGCCATGATTGTCGGTACAAACGGCCGAATCGACATCAACAACACCTTCCAAGAACGATTGAAGCTACTCGAGTCCCAGGCCCTGCCGTCCATCAGGGTCACGCTCTTCGGTGAGAACGAGAACAGGAAGTTCCACGACTAAGAGGTTAGTCTGGAAGTGGAGTATGAGAGTTGGCTGGTGTGCCCGGCCGCAGTCACGGGTCAGCACAGGCGAAGGTCCGCGTCAGCAGTGTCGGACCGAGGTTTTGATGAGTAGACTGTACATGCACGAGATCTTGTAGACCTCTCGGAACATTTAGCGAGTTTTATTCCATGCACATTATCGGAAGTAATGTTTGACTGTGATATCATTGAGCAACTGTTCTCGACCGCTAACTACAGAACCTCGTATGTACTGCGAAGGAGGGTATAAATAACAAAACGTGCGTACAAAGACGCTGTGTATCTTCGCATCAAGGAGTGGATATCATCAACACTCACTACCCCATAATAATCAAACGCCAGTGCTAACTCATAGCATGCAAATGCTCGTATATACAACAAAGGAAATCGTTACTGTGCATCGAATGCACTCATACGCGTTCGTAAACGCGATCCCACATGGGACTTCTCGTCCTCTTCTGCCCACCACCCATGACGTTCCTCAAAGGCCACTCAGTCTTGCTGCTCTTCTTGAGAGACGAACTGGGATCTGGGTATCGATCGAAGCTTCTGTGTCCACCATAAAGCTCATCGTCCTGGTCGGTATACCCGTTGTTTGAGTACTCAGGGCCGTAGTCTTCAAGGTATGCGTATCCGCCTGCAAAAGGATTTGAGGACGGTTGCTGGTGGGTAATGGGAGAGATGGGTCCGGAATCGTCGGATTGATATCCATGGCCGGAGTTACTGGATAAGCTGGAGACGGCAAGGCCAGAGGAACTGCTTCCGCTGTGGTCGGCGCTGTTGTATGCGAGAGAAGGGCGGAGGAGACCTCGTGACGCTTCGGCTGCTGGACTACTGATAGGACTGGTGGGAACGGGCTTGCGTTTTATGCTCGCCACGGCGGGAACGGGAAGCGTGTCTAGAGCGGACATACTGGGTCTCCGTGGGCCTGTCTTTGGTGGTGAGTTGTTGCGACCTAGCACCGGAGAGTCTCCGTTCAATTCCTCGTCGGGTTCGGTCACTTCGGCCACAGAGTGCAGGCTCTTATAGCTTGTTCGTCGGCCGCGCGCACGATTGGACGAGTGGCTGTGGTTGAGTGCGGGCGCCAGGATAGGTGTGTGATTATCTTGCATCGCCATTGGTGTTGACTCCGATGGCATTGAATTACCATCGTTGGGATGGGGAATGCCTGCAGTCGCAATGTTGTTTGCCTGAGACGGTGTAGGTGCCGCAGCCGGTGGGATCTGATGGCCATGGTAGGCTGTAGACATAGGAGCCGGATCATAGCCATCATCCTCCCAGTTCATGTCCTCAACGAAACGGCTCGTCTGGTGTGATGCGGGATTTAAAGGCCGCCTGTGTTCGAAATTCTCACCGCCCAGTCCTCGGTCCTGAAACGAGAAACGGGGAATGAAGCCCGGGGATGATGGAGGTTGGCTGCCTTCGATGGATCTCCTTCGCTTTCGGCGCAAGATAAAGCAGCATGCGAGTAGTAATGCGGCAAGTGCGAGTACCGCCAGTGGCACACCCACACCAAGTCCGATCTTTTCGCGTCTTGTCAGGCCAGCGTCGCTGGAAGCTGGTGCCACAGGATCTGTCGTTGGGTTCAAAGTTGGAGATGAACTTGCGGGAGAGGACGAGGATGAGGATGAGGATGCAGATGTTGAGATGGTGGATTCTGAAGATGACGATGATGATAGTGATGAGGTCGCCAGTGTGGTCGAAGATTCGGAAGAAGTCCCAGAGGAGGATACCAAACTGGAGGTTTCGCTCGAGGCACTGCTCGAAGATGCCGTAGGCGTAGGAATCGTGCTCAAACTTTCGGATGCTGATATCGCAGAGGATGGCACTAAGCTAGTCGATAATGACTCAAATATCGATGAGTCCACATTTGAAGCAGTCTCTGAGGGTGATGCCGTTGGTGATGCGGTGACGACGGTTGGCAATGCTTCGCTTGCAGGTGGTGCTGCCGTCGCTGGTCCGAACTCTTGTATGAAGTAGGATTGTATGTCGTATGGCAGCTCTTCGAACCATTGCGGTCGGTTGTCGTCTAGGAACTCCTCCCATAATATGCTCGATACGGCGGGTATGTTTGTCGCAGCAATCTGTCTTAGCGAAAGTGGAAGTGCAGTAATGAGCACTTGCAAGATCTCGATACTATTGTCAATGTCAGCGCAGTCAAAATTGATGTATTTCAAGGACCCTTACGCATCAGGATCTTGCCTATGTTGTAGTGATCGAACATCTGGTCTTGGTGCAGGTGTGATGACAGGCACCGCAGCGCCGTGCACCAAACCCACCACATTCCCCAAGACCAGCCAATTCCATCCTCTTAGCGAATGCATGTATGCGTGAACGAGCGAGTGTGGTAAAGAAAGCAGTAATGATAAATCGCAAGTAGCTGGGAGTCAATGTTCGCAAAGATGCGTCAGCGCTTCATGTCTGGCAACAATAGTACGAACAGTCAGGAAGCCAGTGCCCAGCGGCAGCGGTGGCCATACTTTTTGACTGTTCACACCCATGTACATTGTCGCATGCCGTCGACGTCCATAATTCGTTGGAGCAAGCAAAGTCGTCGCAGTGTGGCGATTGATCAAGAGATCGTCCACACAGCCCACCGGTCTCGTTACTGCACTTGGTAGGATCTCATGCAGATCAGGGTCCTGACAGCCGGTTATGAGGTCGCGCACCCGCAGATTCGCCCCTCACTAGCCACACTTCGGATGTCACTTTTGATCGAATCGCATGTCGAGCTGCCGTTTATCCTGGCACGGATGTTTTTGGTGGAGCGATCCGAGTGGGTCAACGGCTGAGTGTGGCTGGTGTGTTGCAGGAGGGTTCGCTTCGCTGCCGAACTGGAGAACGCTGTGCCGGCGAAGCGATGCCGTGTATACGTTTGATGCGATCTTTGCAGGGAAAGATTTGCATACAGAGACAACGTGACGTTCGATAGAAATTCTTTTTATTTTTGGATCAGTTGGTGCCGGAGGACGAGTGCCGACCAATGACTGTGAGGTGGGCGTGTTGTTTGGGTGACTCCTTCCATCTCGCGTCGGGTGCGCGCAAACGCTCAATGAGGAAATCACCGTTCACCGTCACCATAGTCGCGTCTGCTATCTACGTCTACTGAAAAATCTTAACGCAACCTCACACCCACTCCACCATGCCCAACCTTTAACTGTACCACCATCACTACTTACACGTTTGCGCAACGCGACCCAACACGGCATGGAATCATGTCTGCGTACCTGCGCTATACCACCGACGAATGCGGCATACGCGTTCGTGCGAGAATACCTCGAGAGCATACAGCTGAACTCGCACTCAACCACAAGAGTCGCCTGGATAAGGCATAGAACTGCTGAGCCCCTTGCTCATTCAAGATGGTAGTTAAAGCAGTCATGTTCAGTTGCGGCCACAATCTTCAATCCTGTTTTCTTCCTACCTTCAACTGACTCAGATACATCAGGACCTCGCCGCTAAGCACCATGCACACCCGTGACGATACTCACCGCGACACGACTTACGACCCAGCCACATCGAACTATAGTCAATGCGACAGATGCTACCTCATTGCCCAGTACCAACATACAAATCTATCATCGTTCAAGCATGCTCGCTGCACCTACTTGCAAGTCATCAAAGTCTGCGCATCAGAACCACCATATCATCTGACTTGTACATCCAAACGTACCTCAATCACAATCAATCATTACGAAGGCCAAGCGAATGAGTGATTCGAGGAACCGAACCTGTCACGCTAGCAGCAGAAAGCCTTGTGTGATGCGTGGATTGGTTACCGAAATGAATTGGCGCCCGACATTTTCCCACTTTCCAACCCCACCTTCCAGGCCTTCTTTCGAGCTCCGCGACAGCGACGACGACGCAATTCTGGCGATATATTGCCCTCTTCTTGACCTCATTTCATCAAGCAAGGCTCGTTGGTGTAGTTGGTTATCACGTCAGTCTAACAACGGCCGTCAAACGCCAGTTAGGACACTGAAGGTCCGGAGTTCAAACCTCCGATGAGTCATCATCGGCGTTCGCAAGAGCGTATCGAACTTTTTTGCCTTTTCCTCGGGCTGTTGGGGTATCTTTTTTGCTTGAACAGCCACCAAATCACCATTTCGAACTGGCTGAACTTACAATTTGAGGAAGATGGTGTTGACGATTTTTTTAGACCCCCTTTGTCTCCTCTAGCCGGCGGCCTTATGATCTGCTCAACACAACACTCTTGGGTACCGTTGCTGGGTGGTGGGGTCTCGTTGGCCCGTCTACCTCGGTATCGCATCGGAGGCGAGCCTGTAGCTTGTACGCAACATTTAGGTGAACAGAGTGCGCCTTTGACTTAGACCCACTCTGGTCCTTGTCCGGGCTGGTCACTGAGATTGTACTTTGGTACACGAGTGTTCAGATTCTAGCTGGACAACGCGACTTTGCAAGGAGTGCATACGATCACGCATCCGCTAGCTACAAAATCAAGGAGATTTATATCAGACTACTTTCGCAGTATCTGCGCAACAACTGCATGCAGTCTATTTACGTTGGCCTCTCCGCCTGACTTGCATCTCCAGGCCACAATACCATCTGGTCTTACTAGAACGGCTCCATTACCTCCTACCTCTGAAAGCTGATCCCATTTCCCATCAACATCTTTCAATTCCCTACCATCGATACCAACAACGTGGATTAGCTCGTCTCTAACAGGGTTCCAGGTAGTAGGGTCTGCCGTAAAGAGAACGAAACGGTCCAAGCACAAAAGATCGCGGGACGAAACGACACCATCTCCCTTCCTCAGCCACATGTGGGGAAAGTGATGCCCAGGAATGGTCGAAGGGTGGTATTCGGTGACCTTCAGCTTCCCAGTCTCGTCCACCTGGCCACCGTGAAAATTATCCCGCCCCTCATTGTCGATATCAGCAGTTGGATAAAACCAGCCTATTTCTGCCCCTGGTGCCTTGAACTCTGTATCGAGGGTCTCTTGCGCTCTCTGTACATCCGCATGCACTTGAGCATAGCCTGGATGGCTTTTGTCAAGCAGGACTCGAATGGCTCTCTTGTTCTCTTCGACTGAAGAGTCTTTGCTGATACCCAATGCCTTATCCATGATCATGCTGTGACTCCGCATGTTAACCAGGCTCGATTGCGCTACTCTTTCTCCAATCGGGCGGCGTTCTTCATCGTATGTGTCCAGAAAGTCGCCATTCCCAAGTTTGCCCTGGAGCATCAAAGCTAGCTTCCAAACTAAGTTGTTGGAATCTTGAATACCCGTGTTAAGTCCGAGAGCACCCCATGGTGGTAGACGATGCGCCGCGTCTCCAACAAGGAAAGTGCGGCCGTTTTTACTGCGATACTGCTCAGCTGAAATAGCGTTGACAGACCAGTGGCTCAAACTCATGACTTCAACTTCCAAGTCTGGGATATTGATGCTCTTCTTTAGTCGACTCATCATCGCGTCATTGTCGAATCGCACGGGATCGTCTGGGAGGATGCCGCAGGCAAAAATCCACTCTTCTGTGTCAGGGTTGTTGGGGTATGGGCCAAGGTGGTACATATAGCCAGTTCCAATACTTCCGCCCATGTCCGGGTTGATGAACCAAGTTATGAACGCTTCTGGTTCGGGATGTTTGAGGGATATTGGTGCTCGAATGTGTGCAGTCACCATGTCGACTATGTTCTTCTCCCCATGTAGTTCAATACCAAGTTTGTTTGTTACCATACGCCCGCCATCAGCTGCAATGACATACGAAGCCCGTATAGTCTCGCTAGGTCTAGATTTGTCATGGTATTCAATCCGTAACTCCACGTAGTCTTCCTTCTCCACGATGTCGATAACTTCGGCGCCATACTGCACACCGCTCGGATTCAACTGCTTGGCCTTTCGTGAAAGAATGGGCTCAAGCCGTATTTGTGGCAACGTGAGATAGCGACTAGGACTTGCTGTCCTATACTCGTCGGCATATCTCCCACCACCCCATGCGTCGCGCGAGACTATCTTGGTACCAGTAGGACCCAGAGAAGTGTACCACGCGGTCTTGGAACATGTGTTCGGAGGCGCTGCATTGGCGACAACTTCTTGCTCCACTCCCATCTGACGAAATATCTCGCCGGTTCGTTGGTTTAGGCCGCATGCTTTGGGGTGGATTGAAGTGCCAAGGTGACGCTCGAAAAGCACGTGTGGGATGTTGCGAAGGGATAACAGGATTGAGGAAGAAAGGCCTACAGGGCCTCCCCCTATGATGGCAACTGGATACTGCTGAGGACTTGCCATTTAGTCCCGGTAAGATTGATGGACAGCAATGAACGCTGGAACACATGAACTTTACAGCGAGAAACCCCACTGTCTTTGATGTTTCGGCTCCACATTCCCCTCCCGAGGTCTTTACCCTTCCAGGGTTGTTACCAACTTTACTAACTTGACGTGGTAAGAATGTGGTATCTCACACCACCTACGTCACTCTCGGTTCAATATGGAATGTCAAAACGGCGGTCTTCCAGGCTTTGCGCTCGAGCTTCGAGTCTTGTCGCAACGGACTTTGGGTGTGTGGGTGTGTACATTGGTGGGGTCGGTAAGTGGATAACGGTACTTTCAAGACGGCGGTCGGTCACGGCGAGCGCCGATTCTGTCCCACATTCCGCCTGCTACTTTGCCCGCTCTAAACACTCATCCATCACACGTGTGTTGAAAGGATTAATGGCATATAAGGAGTATGTTTGATAAACGATTGGTTGAGGAAATCTATCCATCCTCTATGTCTCTTTGTTTGCCTAAAAACCGGCAGAAATATGTACAAGGAACGTAAAGCTATACGATCTGGATTTTTGTTCGAATCTCTTCACAACGCTAAAGAGTTGCATTTCGCCAAAGCATGGCCTAGTACGCGCCGTAAGAGCCGGTGCTCATAGCACTGTTTCCATCGACGGTAACAGTAACCGTCTGCTTGACTGTCTCGGTGACGATAGGTGCGCTGGCGCAGGTAGTAGCATCTGCAACCTCAGATGGCACCATGGGGGTAGGCTGTGGGGCGTTGTAACCGCCAGTCGCTGTGTTGATTTGCTTGTCTGGGAGCACAGCGCTGTATGCTGAGTATGAGCTCAGGGGGAGGGCGGTAGCGGCAGAAGAAGCGTCGGGTACGGCCGCAGAGTAGGCAGCAGAAGATGCAGCGGCGTATCCGGAAGAGATGGCAGCAACGCCAGTGGGGGTCATGATAG